GTAATTTTAGATGTGATATTAACCTTGAAGTCTGTCACTCTTTGAATTCATTAATTTTCCCAGAAACAGCCTTTCTAAAATGACTTTGCACAGAGCATTTTTCCTGACAATTCTTTTTTCATAACAAACTAGGTACATCTGAACTCTAGCCTTGTGACCTTTCATTTGAACCATTGTTAGCTTTTGGTTAAGCAAATATAACAGTCAACTGAGCATATAAAGCTACAGAGAGAACTTAGAATAAGTAAGGTGCTCTTATGGAAATGTCATCAAACACGTGCTGCCTGACAATAGGAATAGTTCCAAAGATACTTTATAGACATTACTCCTGCAAACACAATAGACTAAAATTTCCCTCCACAAAGCCAGGTTTGAAAAAGGGAAATTTCCATAAATTTTATCATCTGACAATTTCTTCACTGATCAGTTCTTTATGGATGATGGAAAACAGTAAGTATGAAGTTCTTTTCTATTTCTTATTGAGTTACACTGGCACTGGGATATCTCATGACATCTATGAATTGATGAGAGCCCCCTCACTCCCAGTACCCACCAGCCTTGCAGATCTCCACTCAGGCTCTAGGAAACTCAAAGGCTTTGATGAGCAATAAAATGAGGTCCTTGCAAAAATCTAATTAAATCATTTTTCCTTCATAAGAAGCAATAGATTAATTGCCACTTACATGGGTGGTATGTTTAAATAGCACAAAATCTCTGAGTGCCTCAGAAATATGTTTCTAAATGTTAAAATAACTCAAAGAAGTAGAAGTATTATTAAAGGCATTATATAATACCAAAAGAATAGAGTTATACGAAAGTGAGGTAAAACGTACTTATATGGGTATGATGTGTATGATCATAATTTTAAAATAATGGATGAATTAATCAGCATGCAAAACAAGGAAAGACAGAATAATGAAGTAAAAGATTGATTTTCTCATAAACGTGATAATTTACCAGATAAGAACATGAGACAAACTGCTGAAACATCATGGTAGACTGAGTCATAAATGACATAAGGTTAAAGTCTGATACTGACATATTAAAATTTCCCTAAGTACCTACCTGGTGTATTTTGCCATGCTTTGAAGGCAGGGGAAGTAGACAAAGTATGGGGGAAATAAAACATTGTCCTCAAATTAATAAAGATAAAATTCTTCTGATATAAGAAACAAATAAAAAATTGGTCAATATGTATAACAGGAATTCACAAGTATAATACCCTATTGAAGCTACAAAATAACAAAGACAGATGAAAAGGCTTCCCTTTTTAATGGCTGAGTAATACTCTATTGTGTATATAGTTACATCTTCTTTAGTTATCACTCAGTGGTAGAAACTTAAACATTGTTTCTGACTCTTAAGTTGTGAACATAGTGGTACAAATATCTTGTGATATCAGTGATTTCATATTCTTATAGTGAAAGCCAAGTGTTGAATATTGGATCATCTAGTAAATGTTTTCAAATTTTTTGAGAACCTGCATCTTTTTTTTTCTATTTTAGTTGAATCAATCTACCAGTGTATGAGGACTTCCTTGTCTCCACCTCTTCTCCAGCACCTTTTGTTTCTTGACTTTTGGATAATAGCCATTCTCACAAGTGTGAGAAAATATTTCGTGGTGGTTGTTATGTGCAGACTCTACAATGGGAGTGTTCAATATCTTTTCATGAGACTGTTGGCTATGTATTCTATGGAGAACTTATGTAGGTCTTCTGGCAATTTTTAATGAGTTTTTTTTTAATATTGGGTTGATTGTATTTTTTGGATATTAATTTCTTAATTTCTTATACAATATGGAGTTTGCAAATGCCCTCTCCCATTCAGGTTGACTGTTTCTTTTAATGCTGTTTTCTTTCACTGTGCAGAAGCTCTTTAGTTTGATGCAGTTTCATTTGTTTATTTTTTATTTTGTTTCTCTTGATATTGGAGTTCAATACTCAGAGTCATCTAGGAGGCTGTTCTCAGTAAACTTATTGTCTCTTCTTTCTTCATGTATTGTATGGTTTAAATATGTATCATTAAGGTACGATCTGAGAGTTTATGGTATATGCTTTTTGTCCATGTTTTAAGGATTCAGATCTAACATTCAAGTTTTCAATCCACTTTGAATACATTTTTTTGTAATAAGTTGAAATTATAGGTAACTGAGTAATCATTAAATCAACCTAACAAAAAAATGTAATTGCGAGTTTTGGTCCCAGGATATTTACTGAGAACACCAGTTACCCACAAGACACACTGCTTGTGCAAAGAGATTTCATAGTCTAACCTCCAGTGGCAAAAGAAGGGTTTAAATGGACTTATTTTTTCTTCCCCATTCAGAGTTTTCTGAATGTGAATGAATTCAGAGGTGTGAGGACTTTAAGCAATGTGTCAGCTGCTCATACCAACAAGTTCTCTTTCTGTTGAGGGACGAAGTTCTTGAATATGCTCTGGTGAGTGTTCTTAGGTTCTAAAAATATGGGTTGCAAAGGATAGTGAAACATCTGTACATTACTGGTTTTGAGTGGGCACCTGCAGCCACTGCTATTTAACTTGTTAAATATTTAATGCTTTGCTTAAGCTGTGTTTATATAAATAGAAATTGGGAGTCTGGGAGAGAGCATTGAAAAGTACACTGGACTGTGATGATGGCACAAGGGTGAATTGGTGGTGGGAAGCTAGTTAGGAATACAACTGAGATGCAAAATTCACAAAATGAAGACTGATGTAAAAAAATCAAAATATAACAAAAATATAAAAAAAGAAACATTTTGGAAAGTGTAGTTCCCACCTCCTTAGCAATGCCTTTCTTTAAATAACTTCTCACTGTCTCAGTGAGAAGTAATTCAGTGTGAATGTGGGACAGGAAGACACTGATACTCCCTGTCTTTATATCATTCATTATATCACAGGTTTATATCACCCTATGTTTTTATCACTTTTATAATAGTCAAGGTGCTTTCCACATCAGAGATCACAGGTAAATCATTCAAATATGATAGAACATCGATTAAGAATAGTTGAACTATTTTAATGAGATCAAAATAATAACATATCCCATCTTCACAAAGTAAGTTTCTAAAAAAACCAAGATAAAGACTGAGCAAAACGTAATAGAGACTGTGCTTTTTATTAAAGCCAGTCATTCAGCCTCCTTATTTCTGAATTTTCAGGGCAAAGTTGTAGTAGAGAAAAATAAAGGAAAATTATGGAATAGACATGTTAATGGCCAAATTTTTAGAAATACAGAAACAAAGACAAGTCAAGTAACTGATACATATCATGTATCTTCTGCCAGGGGATGACCTGCATGGCGCGGCAGATTTCTCTTGGTCCACCTCCTGCTCCCCTCAGCGATGTATTTCACCAATCTGCCTCTTCTGCTCCCCACTCTGTCTCTGGTGAATCCTCACACCACCCCTGTACCTCTGCCCTGTACCCTAATTCTGTATGCATAAATAAATACATTTTAAAAGTAAATATTAATATTTGAAAACATCCAAATTCATCAAAAACTGTGATAGATGCACTGATTTAAACAAATTGTTTATTTATGCATACAAGTACTGGGGTACAGGCCAGAGGTGGGTGGGGTGTGAGCGGATTCACCAGAGACAGAGTGAGGAGCAGAACAGGCAGATCGATGAAGTACACTGCTGAGGGGAGCAGCCGGTGAGACAAAAGAGTTATGCTGCACCATGTGGGTCAGCTCCCTGGCTGGTGGGAGTCGGACTCATGCGCCAGTGGCTGGTGATAGCTGGATCGCGCTATCTTTAACCCCTGCACCACCAGGGGTCCCTGTATCAAATTTTGAAGGTTCCCTTTGATATAGGACAAGATAACCTGGAGAGAAGGAAATAGAAAACAGGTGATGTAAAATTGTAAATTTCACTAAAAAGGAAAGAGGCAACCTTTATGCTGTTACTTAAAGTCATAGCTCAAAAAACAACAACAAATTATCCTTTAAGTAATACCTAAAAACCAGAAAAGGAGCCTGAAATCTCTTTATATTTCCTAAATCTTCATTTGGCATCAAAGACAGTTATGGTAATAGTATACTAACTTCTCTCTCTCTTTTCAGTTTTTTTTAGAATTTATATGTATATGTTTAATATGTTTATTTATTTTTTACATCATTCTTCATTTTGTACATTTTTCATCTCGGTTGTAATCCCCGTGGACTTCCCACCACCACTTCACCCGTGTGCCATCGCCATAGTCTAGTCCCATGAGTTTACCTATCCCGGTTTTGATCCTGTTCTCCTCTCCACCACATAAAATGAAAAAAAAAAAAACAAATATAATAAAGTAAAAAGAAACAAAAATGGACAAATGTAAACAGAGATTCTCACTCTCTTTTTCTATCTAGCCCTTCATGTGACAAAGTCCTTTTTATACACCACAAGCACAAAGAAAATAGCATTAACATATACATTGTACATAGATATATATTTGTGTATATGCAATGTTAAAAATAATTCTATAGTTGTAAAGAGACAAAAAAAACTAAAATTTTCACGATGGAAATAACAATTGCATTTAATTGTGCTATATGGCCATTCTAATATTGACAAACAGTAGTAGATTTAAAGTAATGGCAAGACCAAACAAAATACTCCTGGATAAGTCAAGTAATATTTTCATGTGTGTGGAACATAAAATTTTTATTGGATTCATCAAAGAAAAATAGCAACCTTCTCCCAACACATAGAAGTAGAATTTCTTGTAGGCTCCAGAAACCTCAGCTGGCAAGTTTCAGTTGCAAGAGATGATACCTGGATGAGGAAAGGTGTCATTATATCCCTAGAATTGTCGGGTAACATCTCCACAGTCTTTCTTCAATATTATTTAAATATAACAATATTTGGTTTAACAGTATTTTAATATTATGATGAATAAACACATAAACATGCTTGCTCAACCACCAACACAATAATTTTGAACCAATATTTAAATATTTCACTTGATGTGTGTAAAGGACTCCTTCATAAGCTCCAGTTTTTTCTATCAGTCTCAAACTTAATTTTGCAATGAAATTTCATAGTAACTACAGAAGCTAGAAGCATCCTTGACCCCAATTTTAAAGAAAATTATAACAGGAACATTCGTGGATTTTTATACTGAAAAACTAAAAAGAGGGCCTCTTTCCTATGTGTCTCGAATGACTAATCAAGTCAACCAATCTATAAATCAGTAATCAATACAAGCTTTTCTCGCCATTCAGAAATAGTGCTGTTACCTGTTATTTGCTTTACTCTTTATTCTCTGCTTATTGCCTTTGTGTATTTACATACCTTCAGAGCATAAAATACATATAACATATCTTTTATAACATCCAAATAGCGATCAGATTTATTTAAAAATAATATTTATTTATTTATTAATGTGGATAATTTTGAAAATAATTATGCAGCTATATTATTTTTAGGATGTATCTATATTCTGTGCTTTGGCTTTATTTATTTTATTTTACTTTTTAAATTTTATAAATGCAATTTTTACATTATTCCTCGTTTTGTACATTTTTTCATCTCAGTTGTAGTCCCTGTGGGCTTCCCACCACCACTTCCCCATGTGCCATCACCATAGTCCATGTGCTTTTCCCGCCCCAGTTTTGATCCTGTTCCCTTCTCCGCCACTGTAGAATGTCTCTGGTTTATAATTGTTAGCTGATGTTCTTTTTTTACTTTCTTTTTCTTTCTGGCTTATTTCACTAAGCTGTGGCATCATCATTATTTTTTGTTAAAGATTTATTTATTTATTTATTTATTTGTGCATTCAGAACTGGGGTACAGGCCAGAGATGCGGAGGGTGAGAGGCTTCACCAGAGACAGAGTGGGGAGCAAAACAGGCAGATCGACGAAGCACACTGGTGAGGGGAGCAGCGGGCGGGTCAGGACAGGTCTGCTGCGCCCTGTGGTCACCTCCGGGGCAGGCGGGAATCGAACTCATGCGGAAGCGGCTTTAGATTCTCAGTGCTGTGCTTTAACCCGCTGCGCCACCAGGGAGGGCCTTGTGGCATTATTTTTTAAATGTGCATAGTGGCAAATACTAATTATTCAGATGACTACTTATGCTGTCTTATAATTATAGACCTGTGATTTAACATACTGACTGTTTCGAAGTATTTGCAAAATAATTTGCTTGAGCCCTCCCTAGTGGTGCAACGGATTAGGACACAGCACTGTAAGTTGGCTGCAGCCGCTTCAGTGCGAGTTCGATCCCAGCCCCGGAGGTGACCACAGGGCGTGGCAGACCTCTCCTGACCAGCCCGCTGCTCCCCTCAGCAGTGGACTTCGTCAGTCCTCCTCCTCTGCTCCCCCTCCTGCTCTGTCTCTGGTGAATCCTCACTGCCCTGTGTCCCTGACTTGTGCCCCAGTCCTGTATGCTCAATAAATAAATCTTTAAAAAAGTATTTTGCTTTTTTCCGTAAAGAATGCACAAATTTAGACCCTCCCTGGTGGCGCAGCGGGTTAAACCACAGCACTAAGAAGCTAAAGCCACTTCAGCATGAGTTCAATCCCCGCCTGCCCTGGAGGAGATCCACATAGTGCGGCAGACCTCTCCTGACCGGCCCACTACTCCTCTCAGCAGTGTACTTCCTCGATCTGCCTGTTCTGCTCCCCTCTCTGCCTCTGGTGAATCCTCTCACCTTCCCCATCTCTGGCCTGTACCCCAGTTCTGTATGAATAAATAAATACATCTTAAAAAAAAAAAAAAGAATGCACAAATTTGAGCACACTCTTTGTATGTTTTAAGATTTCCCTCTCTTTATATGTAATAACATTATACTCAATATTTTTATTCGTATTAATTTTATTGACATAACATTGGTTTACAACACTGTATATGATTTTAGGGTGTGGTTACATATTTCAGATGTGTGGGCCCAGTAGATGTCTCTCTGCATAATTAGTAGTACTGAGCACTTGACTTCTCTATCTTAACTAATGTGTTGGCTACACAAAATATAATTCATAGCTATTCAACATTTCATTTAATTAAGGATTAAATGATTTTTCCATGTGTATATTGGTTATATTATTTTCTCATTAAAGACACTGGAAAAGGCTCTGTTCATTTCCATTGCCTTTGGAAAGTTAACAGTTCTGAGATGAATCTTCATGATTTTTTGTGTTAATAGTAATGGCTATTTATACATACAGTTATTGCGTACTTGCTACAAATGTTGTGTTTTAAATTTTCATTTAGTGGAAAACACATTGAAGAAAAGCACACAGAATTTTCCATCACATATAAAGTAATATTATTAAATTATAATTATAATTTGATTGTGGAGGAAATGGCATGATTCATGAATAGAATTGGTAGCAATGAAACATTTACAAGTATTAATGTATGCACTGTAAAATTTTAATATATGTCAAAATTGAATGTAGCATAGTTCCATTCAAACTATAAACTTGTAAGATTTTTAATTTTATTGTATGCATTCATTTGATTGAAATGGAAAATGCTAAAATTTACGATCTTGTTTACCCATGTTTCCACAACTCAATAGAAATATTTAAAAAATGTTTGATGTGATCATGGTATGCATAACTATTTGATGTTTGCGATAGTCATGATTTCTTAAAATGGCTTTTTGCCAAAATTTGTTTCAGTGACTCCTCTTCTCTTGCAGCTACCATCACTGGGAAATTAAGAAGGACTATGGCTAATTTCACCCTGAGTGGGTTTCTTCTGATGGGATTTTCTGTCAAGCCTGAACAGAAAATCATACTTGCTTCTCTGTTCTTAGTCTTATACCTGGTGGCATTAACTGGCAACATCTTCATTATCACTGCAACTTCCACGGACAGTAGTCTCTATTCACCTATGTATTTCTTCCTGAAACATCTCTCCTTCCTGGATCTGTGCTACATTTCCCTGACGGTGCCAAGGTTTGTTTGCAACTCTTTCATGCACAGTGGCTACATTTCCTTCGGGGAATGCATAGTGCAGTGCTTTGCTTTCACCCTCTGTGCTTCTGCTGAGGTATCTATGCTCACCTTGATGTCGTATGATCGTTATGTGGCCATCTGCTTTCCACTGCACTATGAAATGATCATGGATGTCAGCAAATGTGTCCACGGAGTCCTTGGTGTCTGGATCAGTGGGCTCATTTCTGGAGCCATGCAAACAGCAGCCACTTTCTCTATTCACTTCTGTGGCTCACAGATTCACCAGTACTTCTGTGACATCCCCCAGCTCCTTAAACTCTCTTGTTCTAATGAGTATATCAGTGAGCTTGGGATCAGTGCCTTCTTGTCTCTAATGGCATTTATTTGCATTATTTTTATCGGACTGTCCTACACAAAGATATTCTCCACTGTGTTGCGGATGCCATCTGCTGAGGGCAGAGCTAAGGCTTTTTCCACTTGCCTTCCCCACCTTGCTGTTGTGATTTTATTCATTTCAACTGGATCCTTTGAGTATCTCAGGCCCCCTTCTGACTCTCCCAGTGCACTGGACATTTTGCTCACTATCATGTACACAGTTGTGCCCCCAATGCTCAACCCAGTGATCTACAGCCTGAGAAATCAAGCCATGAAGGCAGCTCTAAGAAAAGTTTTCCAAAGGAGAAAAGCCTGATTCTTTTATTGAGGCTTATTTTTAAATTCTTGGTTGGGAAACAGTATCACAGTATACTGGGAATAGTGTTGGTTTAAATAAATTGAGGCAAGGAAAATTAAGTAAGCTTCCAAAAGAATGTAAACTGAGGACTCATGGCTGGGAACAACCTTTAGATAAGATACTTCTGGAATAGTTGCCCAAACTTGCATTTTCTAAAGAGGATATTGTATAATTTTTAGGGAAACATTTCCATTTGGGGAAGGGAATATTCTGTATATGTGTGTGATTCCTTCTGTGAAAGAGGAAAATAGGGAAGACTTAAAAATTTTTCCTATATGAAGTTTCATATTCTGAGAGCTGTGAGTTTTAGTCCTGCCATAAGCATGAAGGTTGTAGTTTTTGAAGCTACTGATTCATCCAGAAGCAGCAGTTCTAAAATAGACTTTCACAAAGGTCTTTTTTTCTTGGACAGTTCCCTCAGTTTCAATCATCTGCATTTGACACAGCACAACCAACATTTCAAGGCTAATTAAAAATAAATGTTGGCAATGCTGTCATGTCAGAAAGTTGACCTGGTATGTGTCTGAGTAACAAAAATATTCACACAATAGCTGCATAAACATTCCTTTAATACAATATATAAAATAGCATCCATGAAATTAGGTGTGGACAAAATACCATAATTTTAAAGATCTAGCATAATCCCTTCAGGAATTATGTTTGTCAGGAGGATGAAAATCAGTAAATGTGAGGTTCTTTCCTCATTTCCCCGAGTTACAGTGGAGTTGGGCTACATGGATTGGTGAGAACCCTGACTCTCAACATCCCGTGGCCACACAGCGCTCCTCTAATTCTTCATGAACCTCACAGGCCTCCTTGAGCAATATGCTGGCCGAAATCACATTATGCCATGTATTTGTGTCTATTTGCAAAGGGTTAGTTTCCACACATGTGAGAGGAATGTTTATATATCACGATCATCTGTGAGTACCTCAGAAATGCATGTTTGTAAATATTAATAGGTTACAAGGAAGAAACAAAAATATTATTAAAAGAATACTGCTCTTTAATATTATTAAAAGAATACTGTGCTAAAGAAATATACATATATTGAAAAATAGGTAAAAAGGGCCCTCCCTGGTGGCGCAGCGGGTTAAAGCACAGCATTGA